TTGTTGGGGGCAATATGCTGACTCTGTAAACCGCTTAGAGAGGGCTGAAAGCCCTATGAAGCAGTATATAAGTCTAACTGCTATTGCTATTGCTTCCAACTCTGTTATTCTGCCTTTTCTAGCTTTGTAGTACCTTCTTTCTGGCCAAAGCTGGAGGGTGGGTCTCCAGACTGAACTCCCCCACAAACACACAATATGTTCTGAATCTAAGAATTGAGGCCCCTGCTTTCTCTCTTACACCCCCCCCCCAAATGCTTCCTACTATTCTTTGCTCCCCCTATTTTCAGACTTCTACTCCTCTCCTTCCCCATTGAATTATAGCTGGATATTTGTGCACACTCACAAGTGCAGGTAGCAAGGAAATCCATTCTGAGTACGTGTTCGGTTGCGTTTTGTTTGTGCCATGGTCAGTTTATAATTTTTGCACTAAAAAAAGATGGATTTTTTTTAAAGTGTTGTAGGTTCTTTGTGTAATGTTTTTGCTGTGATGTGTTCCTCTCCCCCTTCCTCCGCCCCATCTTCTAAATTCTAGAAGATTAAAAAAAAAAAAACCCCGCTCTCTCCATTTCATAACCCTTGTCAGTATTTTAGTTTGACCGCCTCTAAATACCCCTAGTGGTCTGCTTATTTCAAATTTTCTATGGCTGTTTCTCAGAGGAAATTCACCGATTGAAAAATAAAATAAAAGGCTGCTTTATCCTGCTTTAAACACGGGCCCCTAGGTACTAAGCAGGCCGTTTGCAACTCTCTCTGGTTTCCGACAACACAGTTAGTTTGTTTTCAGTCAGATCTCTTGTCTTATTTCATCAGCATGCCAAAATTTCCTTTGAACTTTGACCTGCAATTTGGGGGGGCAATTGGAAAGCAAAAATGCAGAATCCTCTCAGTTTGACTCAATCCCTTTCCGGTTTGGGAAAGATTAATTGTTTCTTGAGCTGGATTTTGTTTTGTTTTTTACATGGAGATATAAATGGCTATTTTCTTTCTCTCATTTTTTAGATTTACACATGTACATAGGAAAACTTGTGTATTGATAAATTGTAAGTAGTTTTTCAAAATGGCCTTAATTTACTATTTATGTATATACATAAGGGTGTGTGATTGTGCATGTCTGTGAGTGCACACAGTCACACACATAGACATCCACACAAACAGACAAAACCTGATCTGAATGCAATTTAATTTGAAATAGCTGAGCATCAGGGACCACTTGCTTTCAACAAATATTATTTCAGCTTTCCCTTGTTAGGCTGGGGGAAGCTGGAAGTACACGTTAAAAATAAAATAAAAAAAGTCGTAGAACAAGGAAAAAATGGAAGACTTTAAACAGCAACCAAGCTGGTGTTGTGGATCTGATTTTGCTGGTTGAGGTAGTAATTATGGGCCCCGATGGTGATCTCTTTTTACTGCACCTTACTTTCTGTTGCTTTATAAAATGGAAAATTCCCCCCCCCTTTCAATTCTTGAGTAAAATCTGCATTAAAGATTAAGGAGGTTGGGAGGGGGAGGAGAAATATAATAAAAGAAATGCACTAGAGCTCCAAGTTACGGGATCTGCAATTTGCCAAAACTGATGCAGGGTGGGAGGAAGGCAAAAGAATCTTGTTACGTGTAGGGCTTAGAAACCCCAAAGTTGCATTCTATCTTTTCGGGTTCCATTTTGTGTTTTTGTTCTATTGAAAAAAAAAGAGGGGGGGGAATTGTCTGGGGAAAATAAGTCTTTTTATGATTGTTGATGTCTGCATGGATGGTGAAGAATCTGTCAAAAAGTGGTGCCTGTTGCTTAGGTAGAGAATTAAGACTTTAATTTAAAAACAAAACAGATATGTCTTAACTGTGAGCTTAATTTGGATCTGGATTTGACCCCACATTGGTCATAGTTGTGAAGTGGTCCTTCTTTATTTTCATTCTTTAAAATCTGACTTCATTCTCTCCCCACCTCCCCCACAAAGTTAGGGGCAGTATTGACAATTCTCTGCCCTGTTTCTTCATTTTAGCTTCATAATCAACACAACAGAGAACCTCAGCCAAGAGAAAATTTCTGGCCCAAGATCACTAAGTAAGTTTTGGGGCAAAAGCTCCTGTATTTCCAGTTTGAGTCAGATAGTAAAATTCAGAGCCTGAGGCTCTCTGGGTGTTTTTCCTGTCCATTTCCAAATATCCTGCCAACGTGGTGCGTGGCAAGGGATTGTGGCTTTTGCCACCCAAAACATCTGAAAACCAGCCGTTTGTGAGGCCCTCTGAGCTTCATTGTTTTCTTGCAGACATTTCATTACCCAGCTAGGTAAGATCATCAGTGCTTGCTCTCTCTTTATATACGAGTGGCTTGCCCTGTCAGTGTTGGTGGAAGTGTTCTTTCCGATTCCTTGATTAATTTAGTTTACTTTATTGTCCCTGCACATGGTACGATGAAATTAAATGCCATCTTCTGTGTACATTGCAAGTACAAAAACACAAACATACATCCTTTACGTTCTATATAATTGAAATTGAAAACCCCGATATTGCACTATACCATAGAATTCACTATGGGTATTGCCCTGGGATAGAAGCTGTTTTTCAGACTGTTTGTTCTTGTTTTTATTGTCCTGTACCGTCTGCCAGATGGTAATAGTTCCCAAAAAAAAAGTGCCCAAGATGAGATGGATCTTTGAGAACGTTTTGAACTTTCTTAAGGCAGCGGGAGCTATAAAGCTCTTCCAAAGAGGGGAGAGGGCAACCCCAATGATCCTCTGGGCAATGACGTTGACCCTCTGGAGGGCTGTCCTATCTGCCCCTGTGCAATTGGCAAACCATACACAGGTGCAGTAAGTTAAAATACTCTATGGTGCAACAGTAGAAGGTCAACATCAGAGGTGGGTTCCTACCAGTTCACCCCTATTCGGTAGAACCGGTTCGTCAAATCTACCGAACCGGTTAGAAGAGGTTCCACCATGGACCCGGAAAGCAGGCCACACTTACAGAAGAGGTTCCAAAAATTTTTGAAACCCACCACTGACACACACACACACACACACAGAGACTCACACAGAGAGAGAAAAAGAAAGAGAAAGAAAGGAAGAAAGAAATAAAAAAAGAAAAAGTGAGAGATGAAAGGAAAAAGGGACAGAGAGACAAAAGTAAGGAAAGAGAGAGAGAGAAAAAACACATGGCCGGCAAGCCACTCCCACCAGGTCACATGGTCAGCAAGCCACTCCCACAAAGGAGGCCACACCCACAGAGTAGGTTCGAAAAAAATTTGAAACCCACCACTGGTCAACATTCACTTGTTGTTTCCTGAGAAGTCTCAGGTAGTATAATCTCTGCTGGGCCCTTTTG